AGCCTCTGTTTTTAGTATAATTGGTTGGGAGAAGTCTAGTATTTTTAAAGGTTGCTCCTCACGAAGTTTGTTTATGAATGTATTAAAAGCCGTTTGTTGTTCATCAGTCCAAAAAAAGGGTACATCCTTTTTTATAGGTTCATTCAAATGGTTTGCGATGTTTGAAAATGTGCGGTTGTTGTTATTATCCCATATCTTATCTTTACAATTAGTGGAAATATGTCCTAATTTTTTGCAATAATTACAAGTTATTTGAGTTCTATCTGCGAAGCTTGTTGTAGTGTTAGTTCGTGGTTCTTTAGAAAAATTTTGTTGTTGATTTTGCGAAAAATTTTGATGTTGATTTTGCCTTTGATCTTGAAACGGAGTGTAGAATTGATTTTGTGGTACCTTCCTAAATTTATTTTGTCTTCGATTTTGTTGTGGATTTCTATAATAATTTTGACGTTGAAATTCATTAAACATTGGATTTTGGTAGTTGAATCGATTTTGATTTGAAAAATTTTGTCGTGGGTCTGGATAGAAAAAGTTTTCTTGTCTTGATCTTGATATTTTATTAAGTTGAAAACAGTTTGTTGCAAAATGACCCTTTTTTCCACAGACTAAACAATTTATTACATTATCTTGAACAATATTAATTTTTGTTGTTTTAGCAAAATCTTTATTTGTATTATGCTCACTTTTACGTAGTTCACGGTATGATGATAATCTTCTTTCAATTTCTATTGCTTTATTAACTATCGCTTGAAAAGTATCAGCTGTTCCAATTCGTATTTCAATTTCTGGTGTAAGTCCTCGCGAAAAACAATCGATAGTTGCTTTATCTAAACTTGTTTTAAATGCTTCGTCTACTCTATTTTCATTATTAATAATATGTGCGTCTAATATTCTTTCTGATGCTTCTGCAATTCTTGATCCGTAAGAAATTACATTTTCGTGTTCCCACATATACATTGCTCCTAACTCTCCTTGTAACTGACATACAGATTTTACTGGCGCGTAAATTTGTTTTAATCTTTCTGTTAATTGTTTTATTGTATTAAAATTATTTCCTATTATAATTCTTCTTGCTTCACCCGAAATTCGACTTCTAATTAATTTAACTAAATTTGTTTCTACTTGTGCAACGTCAGGAAGCATAGATTTTGCTTCTAAACAACTTTCAATAAAAATTGACAATGGTAAATTTTTTCCATCAAACATAGGTATTATTTCTAAAGCATCACGTAATGAGACTTGTTGATTACTTGGTAGAGCCATGTTATTTTTTTAAATTGTTATTATTTTCAGTACTTTTAAAAGAGTTATTGTCAATTAAAAAAAATGTCATAATATTAATTTGATAATCTTGTTTTGAAAGAGAAGTTTATATTGGAAATTTGAATATTTTCTGGGAAATGACTATTAGTAATGTATATAGGGTGTGGGAAATTTATTTCTATTTTCCTTGCGTAGCACGTGTGTTTATTATTCTTAATTGAATAGGAATTATTTTGATAAAAATATCTATATCACTTTCGTTTGACAATTGGAATATGGACAGTTATAAGAATGTTTAAATATGTAAATTTGAACTTATGCAGATATGTTCAAAATAAATATTATAATGCAGTGAATATTATAAAATTAAGTGTGACAAATTTGTGTGAGTAATAAAATAACAATTTATAATTATATATATATTTTTTTTCCTGAAATTTTATTATATTTTTGTTAATAAACCATATAATTTATTATTTATTTGATTTTTAATATTATTTGATATTATTTTTATTATTATTAATTTTATTTGTTTTTTTTATTTATTATTAATTTACTTAATTTTTATTTATTTTTTTATTTAGTTTGAAATTATTAAAATGTAAAAATTTATAAAATTTTCGGATTATTATTGTTTTTAATAATTTATTATTACATGAATTAATTAATTCTGTTATAAAAAAAAATTTTACCAAAAAGGGTGAAAATTTGTGACAATGTTACAAAATGTTAATATTTATTAATTTTATTTTTATTTAATTTTAAATTATTATCAGAATTAAACAATTTTTTGACAAAAAATGTAAAAATTTATAAAATATTACAAATTATTATTATTTATTTTTATTTATTTATGATTATTTATTAATTTATTTAATTCTAAATTATTGTCAGAATTATATAATTTTGGATTAAAAATTTAGAAATTTATAAAAATATTGCAAATTATTATTATTTATTTATTTATTAGTTATTATTTATTAATTTTATTTATTTATTAATATTTTATTTTTTATTTAAATTATTATCAGAATTATATAATTTTGTATTGGGAAATGTAAAAGATTTTAAAATATTACGAATTATTATTATTTATTTATTTTTATTTATTGTCTTTATTAATTTATTATTATTTTAATTTTAAATTAGTATGTGAATTATTTAATTCGGTTTTAAAATTTTTTTTAGTTCAAAAATGAAAAATTTGAAAAATGTTAAAAAAAATTGTTATTATTATTATTATTGTTAATTAATTTATTATTATTTATTTATTTCAAATTTGAATTATTTAATTCTGTCTAAAAATAAAAATTTTTGTCAGAAATGAAAAATTTGAAAAAATGTTTAAAAAAAAAATTGTTATTATTGTTATTATTGTTAATTAATTTTATTATTATTAATTTATTTTAATTTTTAGATTAGTATATGAATTATTTTAATTCTGTTTTAATTTTAAGTCAAAAATTGAAAATTTGAAAAATGTTATAAATTTTATTATTATTATTGTTTATTAACTTATTATTATTTATTAATTTTGTTTAATTTTTAGATTGGTGTATAATTCTTTAATTTGTTTAATTTTTAAGTCACGAAATGAAAATTTTGAAAAAATGTTATAATTTTTATTATTGTTATTGTTTATTAATTTATTATTATTTATTAACTTTAATTTTTGTTCAATTTTTCAAATTAGTACATAATTTATTTAATTGGTTTAATAAAATTTTGAAAAAGTGTTATAAATTTTTATTATTATTGTTTATTAATTTTTATTATTTATAAATTTTTATTTTTGTTTAATTTTTCAGGTTAGTACGTAAATTATTCAATTCTATTTAATTTTTGTATCAAAAATGTGAGAATTTGAAAAAATGCTATAAATTGATAACTAAATAAAGTAATAATTAAATATCAATTTGAAAACTAAATAAAAAATCTAAATTCAAAAGTATTTATTAATTACAAGATAATCTAAATTCAAAAGTATTAATTATTACTAAATTAATTAAGTTAAAATTTAAATAATCTAATTAAATTAAAAGTTAAATAAATTAATTTAATTGAATCGAGTTTGATAACTAAAAAAACTATAATAACTAAATATCACTTTGAGAACTAAAAAAAAATCTAATTAAAAAAAGTAAATTATTTAATTAATACTTGAAAAATTAGTTTTTCAATTATTAATTTAAATAATTAAGTTAAAAATTAAGTAAAAAAAAAATTAGTTTTAAAAAACTAATAAATTATTTTTAAAAAACTAATAAATTATTTTAATTAAAAACTAAGTAAATTAGAAATTAAATCTATAATTTAAAAACGATGTAAACGAACAATTAAATCTTCATTTAGGAGCTAAAAAATTAATAATTAATGCTAAACTAAAAACTATTTTATTCTTATAATTATTTTGAAATATGAGACGCGCTCTCAAGAAGCAAAAAAAATCCTAAGAAGCAAAAAATTGTAGGTTATGTTTATAATTTTTGAAGAAAAAATACAGAAAGAGAATGAATTACTTTTAAAAATTATTAATCTTCAACTGTTCAGTACATTCAAATTTTCAATGAAAACTGGTTTCAAATTGATATAATTTAAAAAGAACTTTTAATCGAAAGAAAAATCTGAGACAAAAATAACCTATAATTCCCTTGCTTCCTAGGTATACCTTTCTTGTGTTAAATAATATAAATAAACATTTTTACAATGAAATGGAAAATAATATAATTTTTTATATTTATAGTTTTATACATTATTAATTGCCCACGGTAAGAACCATCAAAGGGCAATACAGAAATAAAATAAGAATAAGGGAAAAAATAATAAGAAAATAAAAAAAAACAAAAATAAAAATAAATAAACAAAATAAATTATTAAATAAAAATAAAATAAAATAAATAAAAATAAACAAAATTTTTGCAATTTACCTATAACTATAGAAAGAAAAGAAAAATAATTGTGTATAACTTTTTTTATGCGTTAGTATCGAAGACGCAAATAATTACAATAACGTTGTTATATTAAAATAAAATAATTTACCCATTTAATCAATTAATTATTGATTAGGAATTAATTAAAAAAAATTTTTTTTATTAATTTTATTAATATTTTTTATTAATTCTTTTATCACAAAAAAAAAAAAAAAAAAAAAAAAAAAAAAAAAAATGCCAATTAAAAGAAGTGAAAAAAAATATCGACCTTCATTTAAATTTTAAACCATCAAAACTTTATAGGAACATTATATTAAATTTATTATAATGAGGAAAAAAATAAACTTAATTTCAAGTTTATAATGATCCAATTAATTGCTGCCTATTTCTGAAACAGACAGTTTCATCTCCACGCAGAGGTATATACACGAGAGAAAAAAAAGAGAGAGAGAGAAGCTGAATTCGAGTATTTTTTCATCCCTTTTGCAATTGATGCAATTTTCGGGATGCTGCGTCTCTGATAATGACAATGACAGAGCACAACAGTGACACACGACCAGAGGCGAGTGCACAGCTTGCGATATATTCTCCGGCACACAACCACATTTGGTTTTGTCCTCTCACTCTCCCTCTCAACGTGACAAATAGGGAGAATGAAAGGGAAGAGGGGGAGGAGGAGGAGGCTATTGGAACACCTAGTTTAGAAAGAGAGAGGGATATAAAATCCACTTTACGTGTGAAAAGAGAGAAAAGAGAGAGAGAAGTGAGCTTCCTCTCACATGGCCAAGAAGAATTGAAGAATGTCTTCGTCCTCTCCAAGTTAGTCAGTAGTTGCCAGTGAACGTTCTCGAGTGCTGACTACCGATTATCGTCTACCGATCGTGTCACGTGCTTTGATTAATTTTGTATTCGTCTCTCGTCTTCTTTCTCTCCTCTTGTTCTTTAAAATTCAATTATTCCCTACAGCATCAATTTAAAGGAGCGAGAGAAAAAAAATTTTCCACAAACTTTCCTTTTTTCGCAAAAAAAAAAAAAAAAAAAAAAATATATCTTTACCCAAAAAACAGGAAAAAAAAATCCCAAAGACTTGATTAAATATTATTTGAACCAATTTTTAGTGGTTTTTTTTCACAAATAATAACGGTGAAGGAAAAATTGATAGTGCTGGGAATTAATGGATATTTTTATGCCATGTAGATAACATTGTCAGGTAGGATGAGTGAATGTCGATTGTTAAAATGATTTTTTGTATACGTAAAATTTCCACATTGATTGTAAACAATTTTCTTTTAAATTCCTTTTATTTTACAATTCTGTGGGATTTATTATTTTTTTATATCGTTGTTTCGCGCTTGTATTTTTAGTCAATGAAAATACGATTGATTCTTTAATTTCTTTTTTTCTGAACCAAATTATAGTCGATATGGGGAGAAATAATAAAATAGGGAAAATGAGTAAATAATGAATAATCAACATTTGATTGTTAATTACAAAATAAACGGGGGGAAAAAGCGATTATCAATGGCAAATAATAAATAATTGATAATACATGTAGAGTGATAAATGAAACTGTTATCAATTTCAATTAAATATTGTTTTCAGTTATTAAAATTGGAGAAAAATTATCAAATCAGAATATTAATTTAATTGGGACAAAAATTGAAAGAAACTTATAAATTGAGCTTTTTTTTATCTTTGAATACGAATAGAAATCGAAACGAATAAAATTTGAATTATCTGTTTTTCTACTTTTTAGAATTTTTATTTTAAGGAAAAGAACGAAAAGAAAAAAAATTAAAAGGAAAAATTTAAAAGAGATTTTTTTTACTTTTTGATATTTTGAATTTAACAGGAATAACTGCAATGAAAGAAAAATTAAAACTAAAATTTTTCATCAATTTCTTCTACTTTTCAATATTTTTTATTTTCAATCGTTTTTATTTATTTTCACATTTTGTGTTTCAAAAGTAGTAAAAATAAAAAATATTGAAAGAAAAATTTATATATTTATTTATTTAGAAACATAACGGGACATGCCAATATTATTTTTATGTTCTGAATGTGAAAGAAAAAATTACAATGAAAAAAATTGAGACAAAAATTTGTAATTATTTATTTTTACTTCCAACGTTTTGAATTTGAAAAAATTAATCAAAAGGAAAAAATTAAAATAAAAATTTCTATTGATTTTTTTTTAACATTTTGAAGTTGAAAATAAATAAAAGGAAAAAAATTTTAACTTTGTAATCGATTCTTTTCACTTTCGAAAATTTTTGCTTTAGTTTGATTTAAAATTTTCTTAATTTTTTAACATTTTGCTTTTGAAAATATTAAAAACGAACAAAATTTTGAAACAAAAATTCTCTATCAAATTGTTTTTACTGTTCAACATTTCGAATTTGAGATGAAAAACCAAAACGAAAAAAATTAGCTTTGAGGAAAAGTTAAAAGTTTGATTGAAAATTTTTTTACATTTTTACAATTTCCATTTGAAAATATAAACAAAAACGAACAAAATTTTTTTAAAAATTTGTAAAATAAATAAATAAAATAAAAAAAAAATCTTTCGATCAAGTTTTTTCCTATTTCTTAAAATTTCGAAATTGAAAAGATAAACCAAAACGGAAACAATTTGCCTTTACGAAAAATAAAAAATTTGATTTAGTTTTTTTCCTTTTAAATTTGACAAAAATTTTAAAACAAATAATCTCGAATAATTATTTTTTATTTTTCGACATTTTGAATAGGAAAAAATTAATCAAAACGAAGAAAATTTGCTTTAAAGAAAAATTGTAATTCAATTAAAAATTTTTTTTACTTCTTAACATTTTCTATTTCAGAATTTAAACAAAATAAACCAAATTTTTAAATCAAAATTTCTTTACTTTTCAATATTTTGATTTTGAAAAGAAACCGAAACCAAAAAAAATTTGCCTTCAATAGAAATTGAAAATTTAATTAAAAATTTTTGTTACTTTTACATTTTTTGCATTTGAAAAGAGAAATCAAAATGAAAAGAATTTTCAATTTCAGAGAAAAAGGAAACGAGAAAAAAATTTGAAACTAAAGGCTCGATTCATTATTTTTTACTTTTGAACATTTTGAATTTGAGAAAATGAACGGAGTTTAGAAAAAAATTTGCTTCATAGAGAAAACAATAATTCAATTCAAATTTTTTTTTACTATTTTAACAATTTTTACTTGAAAAGGTAAACAATAAAGTGAACAAATATTTGCAACAAAAAAATTTATATCAAGCTTCTTTTCTAATTTAAAAAGAAAAGAAAACCAAATTAAATTTGTTAAAAATTTCGTTAAAAATTTTCCTTTTAATATTTTTTATAAAAAAAAAAAATCGAATAATATTAGAAACAAAAACTTAAACCAAATTCTTTTTACTATTCAACATTCATTCGAAATTTAGAAGGAAAAACCAAAACGAAAAAAATTGCTACTTTTAATAAAAATTAAAAATTTTATTTAAAAGTTTTGTTAATTTAAACATTTTTTGCAGAAACCAAACCGAAAAGAATTTTTGAATTTAAACGAAATGAAAAAAAGAAAAAAGCGTGAAAATTTAAATAAAGAAACAATTTTTTCCAAGAAATTTAAAATTTTTTTTTACGTTTTCAATTTTTCTTACTTTGATTCGAAATATTTTTGCCAAATAATATTAGGTTTGAATAATTCGTTTTCTTTTGATAAAACAAATGTTTAATTCATGAATAATAATATTCTACACACGAATATAGATATGTACACGTAAGACAAGAATCTAAGGTTTCTTCTTCGTTGATCAGAGGCGGTTTTAGAAAGTTTTGTGTGTCTAGTCAACTTTTATATGATTGCAAACTCGTCGTGGTGATACAGATCGAAACCAATTTGATTTTATACATTGAAATAAATACTCGTATTTTGAAAGCAAAAAAAAAAAAGAAAAAAAGAAAAAAAAAGAGAAAAAAAGAAGAAAAAACACAAAAATTGTGTATACTCGTATAAAATGGCAAATTTGATTATTTATCTAGCTCGGCAAATGAAAAACAAAAATAACAAACGGATTAAAATTGTAATGTCCCTTCCAACACGCACGGAAATGAGAGCAATGAAATTTGGAATATTTTTCATTTTTTGTTCCTTTTTTTTCACTTGGCTATTCATGTAGGGGGTTTAATCGAATAGGCAAGTTTATATATATATATATATATATATATATATATATAACGTGTATATAACACCGACACCCCTGGACGTTATATGCGACGTGTTCACACGGCTAATCGGGAGGAAATAATTTGTTTGACCGAGCTCTCGCACCGCCGAACCTGATTGGCTGCTTCTCGACTGATCGATAATTTCCCACATACTAAGGATTAGTATATACCTCTTCCTCAGCAATATTATCATCACACAAGCTCTAAGAGGTTAATTAATTTATCCAAAATAATTTATTTCCTGTCACGATGAATTTTCAATCACGAAAAAATGAATTTCCCGCCAAAGGGTTTTTCTGCTGCGAAAAAAAATCTCTCGCTTCCATCCTCCAAGAATTATTAAAAAACAAAAAAAAATCCGTACTTTTTCTTGATTAATTCGGTTAATTAATTTTTAAGACCAAACAGAAGCAAAAATAAAACAAACGAATTTTTTTACTTTATTTATTTACAATTTATTTAGGCAATGAAAACTTGAATTTTTTGCGGTTTTTTTTCACTGTTTATTATTTATTTCCTTTTTCGAAACAATCGACTTTTAACAAATGATAAATTAATGATAAATAAGAATTAAAAACAAATAATTAAATAAATAATTTTTTCACTGTTTAATGTTTATTATATATTTCCTTTTCGAAACAATTGACTTTTGATGACAAATGATAAATTAACGATAAATGAAAATTAAAAACAAATAATTAAATAAAAAATCAAATAATTTAAAATAAAAAAATTAAATAATTTAATAATTTACATAATTTTTTAAATAAAAAATTAAATAAACAATTTTTTTTTTAAATTGGTGATTTTTAAAATTAAAATAATCGTATGACTTTTTCATTTACCAACAGAAATTTTTATTTTTAACTTAAAACGAAAGGTCTCGATTTGCGGAAAATAATTTATATTGAGTGGAATTTTTAAAAAGGTTATTGTAAAAAAAAATTGAGTGCTGAAATATTGAAAGGGGTGTGAAATGTAAAAGGTGGAATTATAGGTACTTTTTAAAATAAAAATTTTTAATTTCAAACGAGAAGTGGAAAGAAAAAAAAAATTTGTTTGGCATATAAACAATAAATATTTTTTTTATCGCTTTTGGTGTAATTTTTCAGTTTTTCGGGTAAATATATTGAAGTTTGTACTTTGAATTAAAAATTGTTAAACAAAGTAAATTTGTGAAGAAAGAAAAAATTAATTAAATAAATTAATAAACAAAGTAAACTAATAAATAATGTAAACTATTAAATAAAGTAAACTAATAATTAAATTAAACTAATAATTAAAGTAAACTAACAATTAAAGTAAACTAATAAATAAAGTAAATAAAAACAGAAAGTAAATTAATGAAGAAAAAAATATTAATAAACAAAATTAAGTAATAAATAAAGTAAAAAAACAGAAAGTAAATTAATGACCAAAATAAATTAATAAAGAAAGGAAATTAATAAATTAAATAAACAAATAAACAAAATAAATTAGGAAGAAAAATATACGAATTAATTACCAAAATAAATAAATCAACAAAATGGAGAAGAAGCGAATAAATATTGAACAAAATAAATAATTAATAAACGAGGTAAATTAATAAACCAAATAAATTATTAAATCAAATAAATTATTAAATTTTTTAAATTAATAAACAAAATAAATTATGAAAGTAAAATAAATAAATTATTAAACAAAATGAATTGTGAAGCAAAAGTAAGCAATAGTAAGCAAAAGTAAATAATTTTTAGCTAAATTAAATAAATTAATAAACAAATTGGAGAAGAAACGAATAAATAAATAGTGAAAAAAATAAATAATTAATGGACAAGGTAAATTAATAAACGAAGTAAATAAATGACAAGCGAATAATTAAATAGTAAAGAATTTTAATTATTAATAAATAATATAGTAAAGCGAATAACTATTATAAACAAAATAGTAAACAATATAAGTAATTAATAAATAAAGTAAATTAATAAGCGAAATAAATGAATAAATGAATTGACTGATACTAAACAATATAAATTTTTAATTAAACAAGACTTTCTCATTTTTGATGAGAATGTAAAAAACAAATTAATAAACAAAAATAAAATAAATAATGCTCGTAGAAATTAATAGTAAACTAAAATTTTAAGTGATCTAGTTGAGTGATTTTTGTACTGAATTTGCAACAGCAAGGGCATGAGTTCGATTCTTCTTAACTGTTAGAAAAAAAATATAAAAAATTATCCGCTACTTAGGAAACAACTTAAATAAATGATTAAAGGGATAAATAATTAAGAAAGGAATTTAAGTATTAAATAATAATAAGCGAATAGATAGTAGTCAAAAATATGTAATATATTTAATATATTTTTTAATAATTAAAAATTAATAATAAGTAATTAAAAATTAATAATAAATAATTAAAAATTAATCATAAATAATTAAAAATTAATAATAAATAAAATACTTTAATAAAAAATGTATTCATAAGCAAAATAAATAATTAGTAAATAACAAATCAGTAAATACAATAAATAATTATTATGCAAAATTTATTAATAAAGAAAATAAATAATAAACGAACTAGTATGTAATAAGCAAAGAAATGATGAAAAATCGCAGTAAATAAAAAAAAATTAAATAATAATCGAATAAATAAATAGTAAAACAAATAGTAATGAATAATAGTAATGAAAATAAAAATTTTAATAATAATAAATAATAGTAAAAAAAATAGTAAACAAATAATTAACAAACAAAGTAATTAATGTAGAAAGTAAATTTATCAAAATAATTTAAGAAAACAAAATAAATTAACACAACAAATTAAATAAATATTAGAGAAATAGTAAGAGAAAAAATAGTTAATAAACAGGAGAAATTAAAAAACAAAGTAATTTACATGAATAAGAAAATTATTCAAAGACATATAATGTAAAAGAAGATAACGAATGATTATTCTCTCCCATTTAATCACAGAATATAATAAATATAAAAAATAAAAAGTAATAAATAGTAATGAATATAAAAAATAAAAAGTAATAAATAGTAATTAATATAAAAAAAATAAAAAGTAATAAATAGTAATTAATATAAAAAATAAAAAGTAATAAATAGTAATAAATAGAAAACATAGAAAATAATAAATAGTAAAAATTATAAAAATTAAAAAGCAATAAATAGTAAATGTAATAAATAAATAGAAATAAATATAAAAGAAATAGTAATTAATAAATTAAAATAGAAAAAGTAAAAAAACATTTCCAGTTCTCGAAGCATTTTTTTTGTTGTTGCTAGCAAATTTTCCAAAGTCTCTATGTAATTGAAATTAGGTCTGTTTCATTTTTTTATTTTTTTTTTTTTTTTGAACCGGTTTTTAAAAAGTTGCATAAAATATACAGGAAGCATTTATTCCGGGTCGCGATGCATTCTTAGGTGACGCATTAAAGTCGTGTTTGATATCAAGCGAAAGTCGTACCTTGAATCTTGCTTGTGACTTTCACAAGTTTATAAGGCCATAGGCCGATGTCAACCTCCGATAAATCCGAGGTTGTGTAACGCCCTTAAATTTTCAAAGCAGTTACAATTATGCATTCCATTCCAGTTTTTGAATCAAAATGCAATTTGCAATCCTGTTCACCTTTTGCTGGTATTTTTTCCACTCATTTCTTTTTATCTCTCTGACCGCGTACTCTTCATGTATATAATACATATTTTCATATACACAGTAAAAACTTGTGTAATTATTTTTTTTCCGTGAACCTCTAAATATGTGTATATTTGATAAAAAGGACATTTTTTCCGAAGAAAATAATTCAATGAAAGGTCATGTGTCGCGTGAATGGTACTTTTTCTTATAGGTGAGACCAAACAATAGCGATGGACTTCCGGCATCAAGAAAAATTGTATTTTTTTTCTTTTCTTTTTTTTTGTCGAAGAAAAGCCTTTTCAGTCAATGAAACAGTAAATTGAGAATTTTTTTCCAATTGAAAATTAATTTTGTTCGTGTCGATTACTGCCAGAGGGGAAAGAGGGATTATTTTACTCGTGATTTTTTTTTCGATTCGAAACGATAGCTTGATTAATTTTTGTTCATAAGAATTATAATAACAAATTTATAACTCTTGTATTTCTTACAATGTTCAATAATTTAATAATTAGAAACAAACTTTATAAATGGGAAATTTAATACGAAAAATCATTTCAACATTTTAATTATAGGAAGGCAAATTATTGCCTCGAATGGTGCAGGGAATATTCCATTCATATTTCGAAAATATTTCTTTCGAACATATTCCATTCACTTCCATCCACTCTTACATTTCCATTTCAGAAATATTCAAATCCAAATATTTATTTGGAACATTTTTGAAAAATTGCAAGGGAAAGTTATATCAAATTTTGGAAATTAATTTTAAGACTCTAAAAGTTAATATTTCGTTGGAATATTCCTAAAATATTCCAATGGAATTTTCTTTCTGCATTCAAATTTTTAATTTATTTTCAAATTTTTACATTTTATTTTAATTCCAATTGTTTCAAGTGTAATTTCTCATTATTTACAATTTTTAATTCCAATGGAATATTTTTTTTCATTATTCCTAAAGAACATTCCAAATGGAGAAAATTTCAAAATTCTAGAAATATTAATTATTCCTAATGTTTCAAAAAAATGGATTTTTGAAAAAAGAGTGTACAAAAAATTATTTTTAGTTAAAATAATAAAATGAAAGTGAAATATTTATACAGTTTTATTTTTTGGTATATCGAATCTAATGGAATATCAAATATTCTATTGGAATATTTCATCTATATTCCAATTGTTAATTTTATAATTTTTATATTTTATTTTTATTCCTATTATTTCAGATATAATTTTATTATTATTTCCAATTTTCCAATTTTTACTCCAATAGAGTATTTGTATATTATTCCAAAGGAATATTACAAATATTCAACATTTAAATAGTTTAAAAATATTTAATGAATATTCTCAATGTCTAAAAAAAATTATTTTGGAGTAGAAAGTGTAAAAAAAATTATTAGTGTCAATAATATAAAGAAAATTGAAAATTTTCAGAGTTATAATTTTTATATATGGAATCTAATGAAATTTGATTGGAATATTCTTATAATATTCCTTTCATATTCCAATTTTTTATTTCTTTTGCAATTTTCATATTTATTATTCCAATTATTTCAAATATAATTTTATTACTATTTCTAATTTTTAATTTTTATTTCAATGGAGTATTTCTACATTATTCAAAAGGAATATTCCAAATATTGAGCATTTTAATATTCTTGGAATATGGATAAAATACTGCCAATATTCGAAAAGAATTATTTTGTAATAAAAAATATTCAAAAAATATTAAGTAACGATTAAAAAGAAAATTAAAAATTTATATAGTTACAATTTTCGGAATATGGAATCCAATGGAATATCCAATGTTAAATTAGAATATTTCTATAATATTCCAATTGAAATATTCCTTCAATATTCCAAATTTTTATCTTTAAATTTTAACATTTTATTTTTATTACAATTATTTCAGATAAAATTTTATTATATTTTCCAATTTTCCAACTTTTACCCAATGGAGTATTTGTATGTTATTACGAAGGAATATTCCAATTATTCAGCATTTAAATGTTCTGAAAATATTTAATGAATATTCCCAACGTTTAAAAACATTTATTTTGGAGTAAAAAGTGTACAAAGTATTATTAGTGACAATAATAAAAATAAAATTGAAAATTTTCGGAGTTTAATTTTTGAATATGGAATCTAATGAAACAGCCAATATTCCATTGGAATATTCCTATAATATTCCTTCTATATTCCAATTTTTAATTTCTTCTGCAATTTACATATTATTCCAATTATTTCAAATATTATTTTATTACTATTTCTGACTTTTAAATTTTTATTTCAATGGAGTATTTCTATATAATTTTGAAGGAATATTCTAAATGTCGAGCATTTTAATATTCTAGAAATGTGAATTAAATACCCCGAATGTTCTTTAAAAAAAATTATTTTGCAATAAAAAATGTACAAGAATATTTAGTACCATTAATAAAATGAAAGATAAAAATTTATGGAGTTGGAATATTTTGAAAATGGAACCCAATGGAATATTCAATGTTTAATTGGAATATTCCTATAATATTCCAATTTTTTATTTTCAAATTTTTACAATTTATTTCTATTCCAATTATTATTATTACTATTATTATTATTACTATTATTATTCAATTTTATTATTATTATTCTATTTTATTATTTTAAATTTTCCATTTTTTTAACCAAGGGAATATTTTTATATGATTCGAAACGAACATTTAATTCATAATTTATTCAAAAATATAGTTTGAAAAATTCCTAATTTTCGAAACTAATTGTTTTGTAATAAAAAAAAGGCAAAATTGTTCCAAAGAAATATTCCTTGAATCTGAATTGAATATTCCATGCAATTGGATAAGAAAAAAAAATTGTACACAAATAATTATTCAAAATAATTCCAAAGTCGAAAAATGTGAATAATTTTTGAAAATAATTTGAAAATTGAAATAATTTTTTTTTTCATATAATTCCAAAGTCGTTAACCAACGTTTTCAAAAGAGTGAATTCTAGTGGAAACGATCTTCAATTAAAATAGAAAAAAAAGGAAAGGAAAAGAAAAGAAAAAAGGAAAATCGAACACGAAAGAAGTGAATCAGAACGTGCTGAATGTGTATAGTGAAATGTTTTTTGTCTTTATTTTCTAAGAAAGAAGAATAAGGATAGTGAGGAGGGAAACTAAGGGAGATATCGAAAGGAGTTGAGGAAAGTTTAAACAAGGTAAGTGTATAAAGCGAGCGAGAAAAGTTTGAATGAACTGGATGGGAAAGGAAGCAAAAGGGGTAGAGAGAGAGAGAGAGAGAGAAAATAGGAGAGGGAGAGAACTACTGGTCCTTAGGGGAAGAAAATCCAACATTATTCGCGTGCTCGGTTTCCGGAACGATTATAACAGCCACATAGAGCACTGGTTCGTCTCTATTCTGTCTCTCTTTCGATCGATTAAACTGGCAATCGAATTTGTCGAACGCTTGCCACGTAATTTGGTTAGTCTACTCACGTAATTCTGTTACATTATCCAATGTTGCCGGAATGCGTACCCACGTACGCACCTGAGAGTGAATGATAGCTCCTCTCTTATCAAGTGAAAGAGGGGGGATAATAAACGGAACTTGCCAAACCAAACTTGCTTCCCCTTTCTCTCTCTCTCTCTCTCTCTCTCCCTCTCTCTCTCTCTCTCTCTCTCTCTCTCTCTCTCTCTCTCTCACTCTCTCTTGCTCTCTATCTCTCAAAAGTGGGGAAAATACGAGAGAGAAGCTCCTGAAAATTTTTCCATTCGTACGCTTCACTCTACTCTATACTCTCCTCGATTAATCATTTTGAAATTCACTATTTTGCTATTAAAGTTGAACAGCTGGTTCTTTTGCATTTTGATACGATAATCTTTGGTAAATTGCTCTTAAACGAGAGAATCTTGATTTCCTTTCAAATTCAAATATAGTATGTAATCAAAGTTTATATGTTCGACTGTAATTTACTTTCAATCGTTTATTTGCTGTTTCAATTGCAATTAAAATTTGTTTGCTGGGTCATTTGTCAAGTAAATGAGCTTTTTTATTATTTTTTTTTTCATTTTTTATTTATTTCGCTCTTTATTTATTTTCTTTACTATTTATTTTATTTACCACTGTTTCTATTTACCACTATACCTTATTTTCTGTTTTCTATTTATATTTCGTTTATTTAATTTTCTATTTATTTTATTAACTATTTACTTTATTTTCTGTTTTCTTTATTTTTGGTATTTTATTTATTCCGTAATTTGATTAAAAAAGGTTCGTAACGTCCGTAAATTGTACGATATAATTTGGAGAATTTTAGAGAAATTATAAATGATTGTAGGAATTCAATTATTTTCAAAAGTAATAAAATTCTTCGCAAAAATTCAATTATGTTCAAAAATTTGAAAAAATTCTCATCAATATTTCAATTATCTTTAGAAATAATTAAATTCTTTTTTGAAATTCAATTATTTTTCAAAAAATTTTAATAAAATTCTTGGCAAAATTTCAATTATTTTCAAAAACTTTCCTCAATTCAATGATTTTTATAATAGGTATCTACTATTCTAATAAAATTTTCCAAAAGAATTCAATTATTTAAAAAAAAATTTAATAAAATTCTACACAAAATCTTTAATTATTTTTCACAAAATAATAAAAATTTCACAGAAATTCAATTATTTACAAATTTTTTATAAATTTCTTAGCCATAATCAAACTATTTTCATAAATAATAAAATTCTTTTAAGGACTTCAATTATTTTCATAGATAATAAAATTTATAGCAGAATTTTGATTATTTTTAATACAATTTTATTTGAATTCTTCGCGTAAGATGTAATTATTCATAAAAATTTTATTAACATTCATCAAAAGAATTCAATTATTTAAAAATTTGTTGATAAAATTCTTTATGAGAATTTATTTTTAAGAATTAATCAATTATTCAATAAATTATTTATTTTAGTATTTAAATAATTGAATTCTCGTAGAATTTTCTAATCAAAATTGATTTGAACATTAATTTTTTTTTTTGGAAATTTTTTATAATAATTGAATATTAAAAGCATTGGAGCATGAATTTTTAGAAAAAATTGAATTTTGAAAAGGTTTAAAATTAAAATCTTGGAAAATCTGAATTTTTCATACTTTTCAACTTAATTTTTTTTTAAAACTTCTCGTCAAAATTTCAATTATTATGTTTTCAAATAATAAAATTCTTCTAAGAAATTCAATTGTTTTCAAAAATTTTTTAAATTCTTGGCAAAATTTCAATTATTTCTAGAAATAATTAAAGTCTTCTCCGAAATTCAATTATTTTCAAAAATTTTAATAAAATTCTTGGCAAAATTTCAATTATTTTCAAAAATTTTCCTCAATTCTATGATTTTTAATAGATATCTACTATTCTAATAAAATTTTTGTAAAGAATTCAATTATTTAAAAAAAAATTTAATAAAATGCACAAACCTTTTATTATTTTCAAAAAATAATAAAAATTTCACAGGAATTTCATTATTTACAAATTTTTTTATAAATTTCTTCGCAATCATTAAATTATTTTTATAAATAATAAAATTTTTATTAGGAATTCAATTATTTTGATAAATAATAAAACTCATTGCAGAATTTCAATTACTTTTAATACAATTTTAATCGAATTCCTCGAAAAAATGTAATTATTCATAGAAATTTTATTAACATTCGTCAAAAGAATGCAATTATTTAAAAATTTGTTGATAAAATTCTTTATGAGAATTTATTTTTAAGAAAGAGTCAATTATTTAATAAATTATTTACTTTTGCATTTAAATAATTAAATTCTTGTAGAATTTTCGAATAAAAATTGATTTAAAAATGGATTTCAATTAAAATTTTAGATTATAATTGAATATTAAAAGCATTAGAGCGTAAATTTTCAGAAAGAATTGAAATTTTAAAAGGTTTCAAATTAAAATATTTGAAAATTGGAATTATTCATATTTTTAACTAACAATTCTGTGGAATTAATTTTTTTTGAGAAAGTTTAATTGCGGATTTTTTTATATTATTTGTTTATTTTCTAATCCTATATTTAATTGAAGAATTTACAAATAATTGAAATTTCGTAAAATTGAAGATTGTAAACAAATGAATTTGAAAATTGTCAAAGAACTTTTTCGAAAATTATTAAAAATAATTGATTTAAAGTTGAATTTTAGTTAAAAATTCTTGAAAATAATAATTGAATTAATCACGATTTTATCACTCGGTCATCTTTAATTATTATAAAACATGAAAATTAAAATTGAAATATTTATGTAAATTTTATGAAAATTTTTATAGAAATTGCGAGGGAAATATTCTGTAATTGAACAATATTGAAATTAATCTGCATTTATGTAATAACAATTTACACTGAAACAAAAATTTATTTGATTCAAATAATCGATTACTTGTCTATTATCAAGTAAATATTAGGTACTTGAATCAAATAAATTGTATATTTGCTCTGATATACTGAAATTATTGGTTCAAATACAATTTGTTTGATTGAATTAAAATTATTTGATTTTAGTAAATATTTATTTCATTGAATTAAAATTATTTGATTCTAGTAAATATTTATTTGATTAAACTAAAATTATTTGATTCAAGTAAATATTTATTTGATTGAATTATTATAAAATTATTTGATTCAAGTAAATATTTATTTGACTGAATTAAAATTATTTGATTCTAGTAAATAATTATTTGATTGAATTAAAAATTATTTGATTCAAGTAAATATTTATTTGATTAAATTAAAATTATTTGATTCAAGTAAATATTTATTTAATTGAATTAAAAATTATTTGATTCAAGTAAATATTTATTTGATTAAATTAAAATTATTTGATTCAAGTAAATATTTATTTGATAATGGACAAGTAATCGTTTATATGAATCAAATTTTTTTTCTCTGTGGGATATTTGATATCTATAGAACAGTGAATAAATTTCATTGCTTAAAAGCAAATAAATCCCCTTTTTCTCCCATTACCTAAATATTATTTACTTGAAATTATCGGGAATATTTGACAATTAAAAGCGATAAATGTATGTATATATATATATATATATATATATATATATTGAAATTGAATAATGTTTATCGAAGAGCACGGTTAAATCGATTTCAACTCTCTTGACCTTAGTGTGGCTCTGGTGTGCCTTGGAGAATCAAATTGTTCGATTCACAGTGGTTTACCCGAATGTTTGGCTGTTAATTTGCCTGAAGCGACATCAGTAAACTCAATAATTCTATTATTCCTGTCGGAAGCTATATATGCATATATAGAATATATTCACTAAAAGCGGATATTCACTATTTTGTTACAAATTTTATCAAGCACAACGATGGCTCAGTTTCTAAATGCTATTGAAGTATTCGAATGACTGAAATCGATATCAACGGTGTATTATTCATTCAAAAAACAGAATTTCCATGAATGTTGTATACAATAAATGTATTTATATATATATACAAAATCCCTCTGATATCGAATTCGGTAAAAAATTGAAAAGAATTGTTTTCTTTTTAAATTACAAAAAGAAAAAATTTTCCTATCACTAAATGGATATATTTTTATAAATGAAAAAATTTTTAATCAATTAATAAATGTTTTTGTTTACTTTCTCTTTAATTTTTGAAATAAACATTGGATTTTCGGAGTTCAGTTTGAAAATGCTTTGATTTTGCCCCAAGTATTTTTGGTTTTAATTAATCATTCTGATTGCTTAATAAATAAACATTTTTATTTCTGATATTTATATAATTAATAAATTGATAATTAATTTGAAATTTTAATATAGTGCGATAATTAAATAATTATATTAAAATTTTTGACAATAATTGAATGTGTGTGTGTGTGTGGTATTTTATTAAATTTTTTTTGAAAATAATTAAATTTCTAAAAAGCATTTTATTATTTATGAAAATAATTGAATTCTTGCTAACGATTTTATTAGAATTTTCTAAAATAATTGAATTTACAAAAAAAAATTTATTACTTTTAAAAATAATTGAATTTTTGTGATGAATATTGTTATAAATAAAGATAATTGAATTTTGCAAAGAACTTTGTTGAAATGCCTCAAAATAATTGAATTTTTAGTAATAATTTTGTTATTTATCGAAAAAATTGAATTCTTTATGTAAATAATTGAATTCTTATAAAGAATTTTATTAAAATCTAAAAG